CTGGGACCACAGGCGCCCGCCACAACGCCCGGCTATTTTTTGGTTGCAGCCGTCATTGTTGTTTGGCGGGTCCAGGCTGGGGGTTCGAACCCGCCACCTTAGGTGTATGTGGCTGGCGCCTTAGCCGGTTGAGCTATAGGCACGGAGCCTTAAGTTTAAATTTTTAATCCAGTGAAAGTTTATCTCAGTTAATGGTGAAAGGTGTGGGTCCAGTTTCAGTCTTCTATAGGTCGCTAGCCAGTTCACCCAGCACCATTTGTTAAATAGGGACTCTCTTCCCCACTGAATGTTTTTAAATGGCTTGTCAAAGATCAGATAATGGTAAGTAGCTGAGTTCATCACTTGGTTCTCTACTCTGTTATACATATCTAACTCTCTGTTTTTTGTGCCAGTACCATGCTGTTTTGATCACTATTGATTTGTAGTGTAGTCTGAGGTCTGGAAGTATATAAAGTGATTTTTAAACTCACTTTAAAAGTAAATAGCTAAGTTTAACAACCAATGTATCAAACAACTCATCTAAAGCCACGTTCTTTGGTGGAGGCTAACTTTTATACTCTTAGATCTTCCCTCACCATCTCCTGTCCACACTGAATGGAGCCTATAGCAAGAAACAGGCCATTAACACAATCGCTCTCACTCTGGCAAGGTTCTACAGTACTAAGTATATTAGAAGGCTTAACATATGTGTTATAAATATGGTGACCTTGTGAATTTCTTTAAGTGGTAATTCTCTTTTTAACCAAAGCTCTCACTGCATTGTTCATTTGTGGTCAGACTGTTATCCAGATAAGCCTGATAGTTTGTTTTCATTTATCTATTGCAAGAGGATATTCAATTATATTTGTACCATTTAACTTTAATCTTTTTTTTTCTTTTGAGACAAAGTCTCACCTGTCACCCTGGGTAGAGTACTATGGCATCATAGCTCACAGCAACCTAAAAGTCCTGGGCTCAAGCAATCCTTTTGCTTCAGCCTTCCTACTAGCTGGGACTATAGGAGCCCACCACAACACCCAGCTTTTTTGAGAGACAGGGTCTCAATATTGCTCAGGCTGGTCTTGAACTCCTAAGCTCAAGCAATCCACCTGCCTTGGCCTCCCAGAATGCTAGGGTTACAGGCGTGAGCTACCACACCCAACCTGCCTAAAATTGTTTATCTTTTATTCTTTTTATTACCCTATTCCTCAAATTTATCTGAAACTATATACTGTAAAGGTTCATTATGCTTATAAGGGTATACAATATATCTTCTGGGCAAAGGGCTCAACTACAACTTTGACTTTACCTAACAAATGCAATCGATGTAACCTAATGTTTGTACCCTCATCTTAATATGAAATTTAAAAAAAATAAATAAATAAAAACAGACCTTTTTGGCTCAGCACCTATAGCTCAAGCAGCTAAGGCGCCAGCTACATACACCAGAGCTGGTTGCTTTGAATCCAGCCTGGGCCTGCCAAACAATGACAACTACAACCAAAAAAAAAAAAAAGCTGGGTGTTGTGGTAGACTTCTGTAGTCCCAGCTACTTGGGAGGCTGAGGCAAAAGAACCACTTAAGCCCAGGAGTTGGTTGGAGGTTGGAGGAGGTTGCTGTGGGCTATGACATCACAGCACTCTGCAGGGCAACAGGTTGAGACTCTATCTCAAAAAAAAAAGAAGCCAACCTTACAATTTGTTGCATTTCCTGTGGCATGGCAAGCAAATAAATGGAACCCAGCATCCCCTCCAAATACAAGGCAATAGTTTTGATGTTAACACAGTGAAGCAAAAGTCTAGAAGAGAAGTTCAACTCTTCCAGTAACACTTAGTGAACAAAATTATATCCATACATAAAGCCAGCATAGGAAGAAAGTCTTCACATATAACATATCAAGTTACTATTAATTTTAATCCTCTCTAAGGATTACTTAGCAAATTGAAATGGCTGCCACACTGCTTTCTGAGGATTTCTTTTACCTTCACTACAGACTATAAGGATTACTCCATCTGTCCTGTCCTGCTCCCTCAAAGTTTCCATCCCCTATTTTCATTGCTCCATTCCAGCAGCCAAGCACTTTCACTAGACACAGAACTGTTCTTTGCAAACCAGTAGTCTGCTATTTAGAGAAGATTACCAACACCAATACAATATAATCAGATGAACACAGATCCACAAAGGTACAAACAATCATCATGCACAAAGAGTGTAAACAAAGTGCTGTCTGTAGAGGGGAATGGAGTCGTGCTGACCGGGGATCAGAGGAGGCCTTTAAAGAGTGTAGGGGTGACCTGGAAACTGATCAAGCAGAATGACAACAGTCAAGGCTGTAATAGGGCATTCTCTGTACTGAGGCAACGGGCATGGCCTGAATAAAAACAGAGACGGAAGCTATGGGAGCATGCTCACAACATGATAAGCAGTTTGACTAGAAACTGGCACATATAAAGGTGTGGTGTTTGATGAGCATGTAAAGGTAAAACTGGGCATGTCAATAGTAGGGAAGGAAATTTTAATTTCAACAATTACTAAGGAGAGTCATTGAAGATTTTTGAATAGGTAACATGTTTGGAATTGGACAATGGAATTACTCATCTAGTGGTAGGGAGTGACAAAGAGATGGGGAGTTTGGGAGATTAGTTGGAAGCTATTTTTAGGGATAGGTTTTGAAGGCCTAAATTAGTAACTATAAAGTAAGATAAGGCCTGGTGCCTGTAATCCTAGCACTCTGGAAGGGTAAAGTGGGCAGATTGCTTGAGCTCAAGAGTTTGAGAACAGCCAGAGCAACAGCAAGACTCTCTCTCTACCAAAAATAGAAATAACTAGCTGGGCATGGTGGTGGATGCCTGCAGTCCCAGCTACCTGGGAGGCTGAGGCAAGAGGATCGCTTGAGCTCTAGAGTTTGAAGTTGCTATGAGCTATGATGATGCCATGGCACTGTACCGAGGGCATTGGAGTGGGACTCTGTTTCAAAATAATAATAACAATAAACAAAGTGAGATAAAACAAAGAAATGGATTTAAAAGATATTATAAAAGTGGAATTGCCATTTGTATAAATAATCAACACATTGAATCCCATAATGGCATAAATGTATTTATGATCTATGTACAAATGACAGAATAAAAATAATAAGAAGAAATTAAGTGCCATAAACTTAAAAAAAAAAAAAAGTGGAATTGCCAGGACTTGGCTCAAGATTGTGGAAATGAAAAGGAAAGGAGCCGTGTGCCGAGCAGCCCGATGGAATGAAGCACAGAGCAGGGATGAGGACGGAGAAGGAGCCCCAGAGAGCGCCACACAGGGGATGCTGCTTTCAACTGGGTCTTCAAGACTGAAGAGGAAGAAGATCACCCCACAGAGAGGAGCGAATCCATTCTTAGCAGACAGAATGAACTCATAAAGAAACAGACACCCAGCTTGGCACCTGTGGCTCAAGTGGCTAAGGCGCCAGCCACATACACCTAAGGTGGAGGGTTCGAATCCAGCCCAGGCCCACCAAAACAACAATGACAGCTGCAACCAAAAAATAGCCAGGCATTGTGGCGGGCACCTATAATCCCAGCTACTTGGGAGGCTGAGGCAGGAGACTCGCTTGAGCCCAGGAGTTGGAGGTTGCTGTGAGCTGTGATGCCATGGCACTCTCCCAGGGGGACAGCTTGAGGCTCTGTCTCAAAAAAAAAAAAAAAAAAAAAGAAAGAAACAGATACATAAAAGAGTTTTCAGTGTTTGGGGAAAAATTAAAAATCTTGGAACATAAGGCAAAGAGCAAGGAATTGAGGAGACCAAAATTTAAGCAAGGACTGAATGTGAAGGTTCTGATGTGTTAACCTAAAAAGTCTGGACTCTGTCTCATTAGAAATAGGAAGCTATTAGACATTTTTAGGCAGGGAAATGACATGATCAAATTAAAACAACAAACACCTTGCTGTTGAAACTCAGCCTTTCGTTTGCTCATCCAAGTGGCTTTGTGGGGATGGCAGAGCCAGCCACTTCTGGGGGCAGTTCTGGTGCTTTGCAATAGATGAGAGATATTCTTCATTTTTCTCACTAAGAGTGAATAAGCAAATGTGTCTATACAAATATCCATCTATTTAATTACCACTTGCTGTCCCAGGCCCTTCTGGGGATGTTAAATAACACACAATATATTGTATATTAAATATAGATAATACATAGTATAATATATAGCATTTTTTTCTTCTGAAATTAAAAGTATCATGGGTAGCTCTAAGGGTTTCAGGTGAGGGATTGTGGATCTGTCTGTCACCTCAAACCAGGAGGGCACAGAGTAAGAAGTCAATTTGGAGCATGCTGAGTGTAAACCATCTATAGCATATCTCATGGAAACATCCTGTGGGCATTTCGAAATGTGGCCCTAGGGCAAGGGAAAGAAGGTGATGCACATGGCCTTGATGTCACCGCTCTGTGAGAGACACACAGGTGTGGATGCTCCTAATCCCTGCACCACAGCTCCAAAGTAGGGTTTGGACCACTGGAACCAGCCCCTTGAGCTTCTTCTAAAAGAGGGGGTTTCAAGGTACTTACCATCCCAGTATTTGAGAGAAAATTGACTGAGAATTTCAGTTAAACAGGAAAGAATGAATTCCATGTTATTCATTAAAAAAGAAAAAAAAACCTTCAGTTTAAATACATGCAACTGTTTTTAGGTGGCTATGAAGACTGAAGACAATGTGTACATTTGGAATCTGTTCTGCTAAATGGTAGGCAAAACTTCTGAAATTTACTTTTCATTCAATTCATTCTTTAAATTCACATCCTTCTGCAAGCCAGAGAAGGCCGAAAAATGCAAAGTGATTGCTTAGTTTGGGGTCTTCTTTAGCAAGCCCAGAAGAACAGATGCAATTTAAGCTTGATTGGCAAAAAGGGCTTCAGCTCATTAACATTCCCACCTCACGTCTCAATTTTTGGTTTAAGATTGAATCTTCTGATTTAAGTGGAGACTCTGCACTTGTTTGGGAATGAATGACAGACTTAGTTGTATCTGATTATCCTGCCCTATGATTCTGAATTTAACAAGATGCATTGGAGGAGGAAGGGACCTGGCCTGTTGACAGTTCCAGAGAAATCACAGAGAGATAGTTAAAGCCCATGTTCTTTGCAGAGCATTCACTTTAGAAAAGACATTTTTACTGAGCTTTACTAAGTCAAGCGCCCATTGTTTGATATCAAGCAAGCAGCCTTGCATTTTAAACTGAAAGGTAAACTTTGAGATGAAGTAGACACATTTTGTTACAAGGTGTGAGACAGGTTCTCAATACCCTCTCTACCCAAAAGGTCCCTCCTGGAGGCAGACAGGTGTGGAGGGAAAGGCAGCCCATTCATGCTTCTTTAGGACACTGAAATAAAATGAACAGCAGATGCGTCATTTAAAACATCGTCCCCGAAATGCTGCCACGGGATTCACCCTGGGAAGGTGGTACAGAGGGACCTGCTTTCTCAGTGGAGTTGATCCCTCCACACGTTCTCATCTGGGTACCAATGGCATAGGTTTCCTAGAGCACTGTCGGGGGTTTCTAGAAAGCAGTGTGAGCCCTTAGAAGGAAGATCGTCAATGGATGATCTAGAAAGCAGGCAGGAACCTGCTGCTCACCCCAACTGAACTGAACAACTGTGATTTGGAGGACCAAGGTGCCTTCCAGATTTGTGTGAAAGTGCCTGTACCCTTCTATGGATGGAAAGACTGAAGAAATGGGGCCATTAGTAGGTAGAGGAGCTACGGAAATGCTATGAAGCGCTGAATATCACCCTTAGCCTCTGGTGACCTGAAACGTGGAACAGACTGTTTCAAGAGGCCAACCTGTTATGTCCAAAGACGCACGCACCCCTGAGAATTGCTTCCTGGTGTCTGGAGAGATGTGTCCATAGAGGTTTAGCAAGCTCCAAAGTGAAGGAAACCAGTAGTGACTGACTTCCTTGTTGTTTTTAAATATATTCCTTTGAATCATTATGACCTGAAAATGGAAGGTCATATAAATTAATGAAAAAAAGATTTATATTTACAGCAAACTTGTTCTTGCCAATAATTTTTTTCTCGTGCTTTGATTTGAAAATTTTCCTTCTAGAAACATAATGGCAAAGATCAGCCTGCTGTCTGTGATCGGACTGGATGTGTAAATGAGATGGTCCTGTTTACTCCTGGTCTAGCATTTATTTACAACAAAGCCCAAGAATAGATTTCAGCACTTGTTGGGATGCAAATTTTCAGGAGTAGCAAAATTTGAAATATTTGGTTCTTGCCCACAATTGCCGTACTAATTTAAATAACCCAGCCTTGCTTTCTTAATTGCATTTTCTTGTAATAGAAATACAACACACAAGTCGGACTGAAAGGAACGCAGCTTTCCGGCGGCCAGAAACAAAGACTAGCTATTGCAAGGGCTCTTCTCCAAAAACCAAAAATTTTATTGTTGGACGAAGCCACTTCGGCCCTTGATAATGACAGTGAAAAGGTAACATTCTCTTTTTCAGTTCGGAATATGATACCAAATATGAGCATGCAGTGTCTTGGAAGAAGACACCAAGAAGACGCAAGAAGAACCAAGCTCAGTTGGGGAAAGGGAAAGCCCGAAAAGAATTATAGAGTCCAGTTCCAATTAAAAGGTCCCTAGGTGGTGGGGAGGTTGGAGTTGGGACAGAGAGCATGTCAGGTTCTGGAAAGGTTTTTTCACTTGACTTGGTCTTATTATCAAAAGGAGCCCAATTCTTGAAATGTTTTTCCATTCAAGGAAAGAGTCCGAAAAAAATTACTTTTCTATTTCATTATTATTCCAATGATGCCAAACAAATTAATAAAGTAACATAAATGGGTCAAAGAGTAATCAATACTGCAATATCAGAGCCTGTTAGTTATTCTACCTTCTACAGACTCTTACTCCGCCTGGACTGAGCAGAAAACAGGAAACAAAGGGACATATGACATCATGCCTGAGAGTATCACCTTCTTTTGTCTAATTTTCCTATGTTCTTTTCTCCTGGTAGTTTACTGCACATAGTAGGCACTTATTCAGTAAGTGAACATTGGTTAAATGAACGATAATCGTGAATATTTGTCAAGTGTTCGATATATGCTGTTCTTTCAGTCTTCACAGCAACTTGATGAATTAGCTTATTAGCATACTCACCTTACAGATTAGCTCACTAGGGCTTAAAAAGGTTAAGTAACTTCCCTAAATTCTAATACAGGGTGTCTGACCTAATTGCCCAGGAAGTTAAATTAATCCATATATGATTGCTATGTGTAGATGACTTTCATGTTTGATTCCCAAAGAAACAATGTATTATTAAAGAAAAAAATATAACTTAGAGGAGACATATCTGGGCGATAATCCTGGCATCCTAGCAGTATGACCTTGGTCAGACCTCAGTTCATGTATCAGAAAAATGAAAATACCTCCATTTGGGGGGTTTATTGCAAGAATTTAAATCAGACAGCCATCACTAAAACATTTTATGCATTTAGCAAATACTGGTTTTCACTTCCATTCCCTCTACAAAGCATTGCAACCTCATAGTTAACCGAGCTGCAATTTTAGCCAGGACAGTTCTATAGCTAAATCCTACCCCCCAGAATTATAATCATCTATTACAGAAAATGAGGCAAGTAAATTAGACAATTCTATTTAAGTGTGGGAATACTGCTTCCTAATTTTGAGTTTAGAACCACTTACCTATAAGCAACCACTTTAATTTTATTTACTGTCACAAATGCTTTTCCAACTGGAATTCTTATTTAATGTATCTGTAATTACTTTTTCTACATTCCTATTGAATAGGGTGAATATTTCATTAAGCAGGATGACTCCTTTGGGGATATACATTATTAGATTACCTTAGTTGATTTGACTTAGGCAAGTTTATTAGCTGCTAACCCAAACTGTGGTCACAGATCCTTCTCTCTTCCAGGTGGTTCAGCATGCCCTTGATCAAGCCAGGATGGGGAGGACCTGCCTCATGGTCACTCACAGACTCTCCACAATACAGAATGCAGATTTGATAGTGGTTCTGCACAATGGAAAAATAAAGGAACAGGGAACTCATCAAGAGCTCCTAAGAAATCGAGATGTCTACTTTAAATTAGTAAATGCACAGTCAGTGCAGTGATGCTGTTGAGTTAGCACATATTTTGATCTCTGTGTAATGCAAAGAACTCGTACTTAGTAATTCCTTGGCATGCTTTGATCTCTTTTACTGCATATATCAACACCCAGAATCATGCTACTCAAGTACAGACATGTTCTGTTAATGCACCATCTTCCCTTCAGACTTTTAAAAGCAAACAAAAATTTATTAAATTCATGTGAGTAAATTGCCTATATGCCTCACTTTAGAAAAATGTTCTAGCACATTTGCTTGTAAAGCAGTTTTCTGCAAAGTACATTTATTTTCCCACCAACTTCTACCATTAAAATTGGAAATGTGTTCCCAGAGTAAAAATTATCCATTTAGGCTCGGCACCTGTGGCTCAAGTGGCTAAGGCGCCAGCCACATACACCTAAGGTGGCGGGTTCGAATCCCCAGCCCGGGCCTGCCAAACAACAATGATGGCTGCAACCAAAAAATGGCCAGGCGTTGTGGCGGGCGCCTGTGGTCCCAGCTACTTGGGAGGCTGAGGCAGAAGACTTGCTTGAGCCCAGGAGCTGGAGGTTGCTGTGAGCCTGATGTCACGGCACTCTGCCCAGGGGGATAGCTTGAGGCTCTGTCTCAAAAAAAAAAAAAAAAAAAAAAATTATCCATTTAGTTAAGCTGAAAGTTTAAGCAAAGAGAGCGTGAGATGTAGTTGGGCCTATGGCACTGCAGGAAGATTGTCTTTAATTTGGAACATAAAGAGTTTTATAAAACGCATTAGAGGACACTGTGCTAGTCCTTTTCTCCAAACCGCAGGAATTTCTCTCATGTTATCTCACTCAGTATTTCTCTCAATCGATATATGCTGTTTCCCAAAATTACATGGCATCCCTTTGTTGAGGGAGGAGGGATAAGGAGCATTACAGTGAAAAATTCGGGCAGAATTAGGTGGCTATCTCCTACTCCACCAGTAAGAGAAGTACCTCACATGATCCAGCCTGAAGATTTCATTATTTCAGGCTTTGGGTTTGACAGAATAAATTACAGGCCAACCTATGTACGAACAAATATTTACTTAAAATAAGATCTACTTTTATTGAGGGTGAAAAATTTTAAATGCATTTATTATTAATCAAGTAATTTGTTTAAATGTTATATGTACTTTATTATATGTAACATATGAATGATTGAAAAGTACTGTGTAAATAACAATATTGGTAAACTGAGCTATATCTTCCATTTACTTAAACAGGTAACATCATCTAGTGATTTTGTCTTTGTTATTCACCATATTTTCTTCCATTGACTCCTCCAGCCAGCCTCTCTGAAGTACACTTTGTCAATCATCTGCAATCTTATAAAAAAAAATTAAACTATAAATACATAAAATCATTTGTGTATTATGCTACTTCTTTTTAATAAAAATAAGATTAAGATTGGGGAGTTGAGAAGCAGATGCTTTGTTTAGAAGCACTGGCACTGATTGCTTTGTGGATGTTTCACTATGCACTTGGCAGCTTCTCTTTCTGAAGTAGGGTAGATAGGAGGAGAAGGGAAATATGGTAAGGAGATGCCTAGCACCTCAGCCCAGGAGCACCTCAGGTTCCAATTCTGTAATCCCTCATAGAGAGGCAATAGAGTGCCTCCAATGCCCACTTGCCCCTGATCTTATTGATATCTATCCCTCACCTACAGGTATCAAAAAAACACTTCCTTTTCTAATCAATGGCCTTGTTTTTGTTTTGTTTTGTTTTGTTTTGTTTTGTTTTTTGTGGAGACAGGGTCTTGCTCTGTTGCCCAGCTCCATGTAACCTTAAACTCCTAAGATCAAGCAATCACCTTGTCTCAGTCTCCCAAGTAGCAGGGACTACAAATGCACACCACCACTCCTGACTAATTTTTCTATTTTTTGTAGAGACAGGTCTCACTCTTACTCAGGTTGATCTCAAACTCCTGGCCTCAAACTATCCTCCCATCTATCTCAGCCTTCCAGAGTACTAGGATTACAGGTGTGAACTACCACACCTGGCCCCTCCCTGCTAATTTTTATTCCCATTTTACTCCGAAAGATGTTACATAATGCTTCACAGGCAGAATTCTATCAAACAAAGCCATTGTCCCAGATGGCCAAGCAACCATGCTGAGAATTAGGGTCACAACCGTTTTCAAGGATCTCTGCATTTATCCATGGATAAAATCAGAAGCTAAGTAGAGCCTAAGTACTTTTTGGAGAGAAGTACTTGGGAGACTGCCACAAGTTAAAAATTTTAAGTACTATACCACTCTTAAAAAATATCATTTTGAGTAAAACCACAGTGTTAATGTTATCAAAGCACCTTATCCTCGAAGTTATTCCAGTCAGCTATGGAATTATCTATTTTGATGAGCTCAAAATTTTGGAAATAATTTTAATATTTTTGTAATGAACCATCATCTGTACACATGTTATCAATTCTGTAATTCTGACTTTTTAATTCCTTTAGTTTTTCTTAAAGCAGGGTACTCTATAGCCAAAAAAGAAGCTAAATTAGGAATGGATGCCTTTATCATAAAAAAAGAAAGAAATGAAATGGTACTACAGCAGATTTAAATCTAGGTTTTAAATTTTAAAGCAGTTATTAAAGCTATAAATTATTAAATAACAGCATGTTTAGGTTGGTAGCTCACAGGCTGTTTTAAGCGATGAATGCCAAATTATTTAGGGCACCAAATCAGTGAGTTTAAGACCTGTTGTCGGCTCAGCGCCTGTGGCTCAAGGGGCTAAGGCGCTAGCCACATACACCTAAGGTGGTGGGTTCAAATCCAACCCGTGCCCGCTAAAACAACAATGACGGCTGCAACCAAAAAATAGCCAGGCATTGTGGCAGGCGCCTGTAGGGAAGTACTTTGGAGGGAAGTACTTAGGAGGCTGAGGCAGGAGAATCACTTGAGCCCAGAAGTTGGAGGTTGCTGTGAGCTGTGATGCCACAGCACTGTACCCAGGGCGACAGCTTGAGACTCTGTCTCAAAAAAAAAAAAAAAGACCTGTTGTCTTCTCGTGGTGCCTTAGATTTTCAATAAATACTTGGTGATTCAGTGTGAAAAGGCAGAAATCAGACCAGGTACATTATTGACAATAAAGAGGTGCACACATTTCCTGAAAAGATGCCCTGGAGGCTGTGGCTGTTTTTCTTCAACAATCATGCCTTACCATCTCCTTGTCACAATTATTATCAGTCACAGGTGACACAGTGATAGTTGACTTCTGCTCTAGCCTAGTTTAAGTTCACAAAAACTCTCTCTTTCCATTTGTATAGCAATTTTAATTTTCAGTTACTTTTTAATTTAATTCATGTTACCCTTTTATGATAGTGTATGAGCTGCTTTAAGCTACTTAATTTTGAAATAATTTGGTACTTGAGCATCCCTGGCCTAATTTCTTTTAGAACCTCTAATTTCCCTTAAGACTTTTGTCTAGATTAAGACATATTCCCTAATCTCAAGGAATTCTGGTCTCAGGAAAACACTGATTTCTGCCAGTCATGATTTACAGCCCCCTACTTATTCAGACTGACCTCAGTCCAAGCTTGTCGAAGTGGCCTTGCTCTTTGCTTCGCCTCCACCTCTGGGCCTTGGTATAGTTAAAAAACAAAGAATAAAGGGACAGTTTTAAAAAAAAATACCTGGCCCAGGAAATCCTAAATACAAGACAGCCATCCAGAGAGGTCTGGCTCCATCAGTCATCAGTCAGTGTTGCTGTATTTCAATAGCTCTCGGCCATTGGCCACATCTTATCCTTTGAAGCATCCTTCCTTCCTAGAAAGGAAAGCTGCTCAACGAGTCTTAAAATAACCCAGACACCAATGAGGGTAGCAGTGGAATAGAAACAATTTAACAAAAATAAGATCTAGCATACCTGTAAGGTAAAAGAAACAAGACATGGATGTCACACTGGTTTTATAGCCCACCCAGCCAGCTAGGTCGTACCAGGCCTTACAACAAGTGATGGTGTGTTCTCATGTGAGCTTAGCTCATAGCTAATAAACTGATTTTCACTCTACATGGTGTCTCAGTTGCACAGCATCCATAGCACGTCATATACTTTGCATATGACCTATTCTGTGAAAATATTTCCTATGGCAGTGTCAACTCATGTAGCCACTGTTTTGGCTCTGAGCTCCGATTCCAAGAATGTTTGTGAAGTGGAATCACGGACTGATTGGAAAGTTCACTGATAAGAAACAGTTAAGGAAGGAAACTGGGAAAATTAGAAATGGAAAAATAAGGATAGAGGGTTTGAAATATGCAGTAGATTTCAACTCTTAAACTTCCCTTCCATTAGTAATAATTACCAGAAATTTAAAAGCTCATCTAAAAACCTTTACTATACATTATAATTAAATACTAAATATCCCTACACAGTACCTCAAGGAACTCAACTTGCCTCCTTTTAGCAAAACCACACTGACAAAGACCGTGTTACTTTCTGACTGCTGCTATAACAAATTACTCAGTGGCTTGACACACGACAAATTTATTATAGTCCAAATCTGAAGTCTTAAATAGTCAGTCTCCATGGTTAAAATCAAAGGCTTCATTCCTTCTAAAAGCTTTAAATAAGAGTCTGTTCCTTGACTCGGCGCCTGTGGCTCAAGTGGCTAAGGTGCCAGCCACATACACCTGAGCTGGCAGGTTCGAATCAGCCGGGGCCCACCAAACAACAATGACGGCTGCAACCAAAAAATATCCAGGTGATGTGGCAGGCGCCTGTAGTCCCAGCTACTTGGTAGGCAGAGGCAGGAGACTTGCTGAGCCCAGGAGTTGGAGGTTGCTATGAGCTGTGAAGCCACTGTACTCTACCCAGGGCGAAAGGTTGAGGCTCTGTCTTTATTAAAAAAAAAAAAGAATCTGTTCCCCATTCATTTTCCACTGCTAGAGGCTTCTAGATGCCTGCATCTCTCTGACCTCTGCTTCCTTCATCACACCCCCATCTCACTCTGCCTTTGGCCCTCCTCTTACTTTTAGGACTTTAGTTATTACATTAGGGCCATGGGGGATAATCTGATAAAATCTTCCCATCTCAAGATTCCTAAACTTAATCAC